CACTGTCACATTTTCCTCATCAGAGAAAAAAATAATCCCTCTGCCCTTTTCAAATCTCTCAGATCTGCGCCTTCCGCTCTGTTCTGTCTTCTCAGCAAGCCATGTGAGTCTGGAGGATTACAACTACGTGCGTCGTGCTTGAATTCTTCATTTCCTCACTCACCTTGTGCTGTTCCTTTGTTCCTAGACATCTCAAACTGCGCTCCCTCGCTCTGTTACTGCTGTGATTCATTTGCATTGCATTGCCTTCACCCTCCTCCTTCACCCTCCTTCTTCCGTTCGAACTGCCATTCGGCGCATGCGCATCATGCCATCGACCAATGGCAAAAATCCCTCACGACGGCGGAGTTTGAGATTGCCTTCATCCGACACCCCCACCTGTGGCGTAGCGAGATTACGAGGAATGCGGCTGTACGCTGGGATATGACATGGGAGGTGTGCGCCTGCAACTGCGGGCGCATGCTCGTCGTACTGTTGACCAATGGCGAGGTTCTGGATATGTATATTCATATTCTTAAACCGTAATAAACCATACTCTGCATATCGACTGGAAATTCGTGTCTCAACAGAACCCTGTAGCTATCTAGAAAGCCGTCTGGCTTGTAACAGGGGGCATTTGCCGCAATGCCGAATGCGAACTATGACATGCGAAGACCTTCAGCAACCTCCTCCCCGAACACCAAGCGCGGCAACAATACGTCTCCGCAAGATGAAATCATGGAGATCCATAGCCGGGTGCTTGAAATGATTGAAATATTTAAATGAATGTCCGCGATACTATGGGAAACGTTGTTCTGCGAGAGAGGATCGGGATGCAGCAAGTAGCATTTGAGTGCCGATAAGCATTATTTCCATATCCAGTGGCTTTACGGCTGACTGCTCCAGCAGGGTACGTTGAAATTGACCAGGAACTGCGAATCAAAACGAACGACTGCCCCTGTGATGCTCATAGGATACTATTGCAGTGGCATTTTCTCAGAATCAAAAAGCTTCTGGAAACCAACAATGCCTTTTGGGCTGCGGCCACCTCTAGATATTTAGTGTTCAAACTTATTAGCTGCGTTGTAACAAATTGCAACATTTCCACTCCTATAGAATATATACATATGCATTGGGCTTCTATAAATGATACTTATTTGCCAGAACAGAGCAATCATTAATCCTATTCAGTTTCAATCAGAGCTATTATATCGTCATACGCCTTAATGATAGGATCATATAGTCTCTGTGGGACTTGCGGCGTTCCAACAATAAGTCCTTCCTTCCCATAAGGAAACAGTACACCTCGTATGGTCCTGCAAAGATGCTTGACGCGCTCGAAATCCGGCGGAAACTCCTGCAAAAGATACTCAAATCCGCCAGCTTCCATGTTACCTCTTTTATAAGTTGCAATTTTCTTATAAGTTCCAGTATACCATTCTCTCAGCATGCTGTCTTTGGGCGGGTCCTGTCCGTGTCCCTGTAGCTCATTTAATTTTTCCCAACCATGACGGGCACATTGCCAGATAAGCACATAGAAGAACGACTCGAGATCATGCCGATAGGTATGATCGATATTAAGCAGCACCTCAATCGCCATGAATTCCATCGTGCCAGTCTGGTGCCGCGCGCCACTTCTCCCGCTCCCAACCTCTTTGGCAAGATCCAAATCGATTAGCATGCCCGAGTGACCTTCCGCCTTGCCTGGATCGGTTATTATTATATTGTTCTCCGAAATATCCCGATGAAG